CACTCGATAAGTGTAACTAGTTTTATACTTTAGTTTTTTGAGTGTACTACGTACGTGCAAAATACCGGTTGTTTCCAGTTTATATGATTATATAGTTCAGGGTATACAATTTTGACGTCATGGGCGCTATCTAAGTTTCTTCTTATTGGTGGTACGTCAATAAAATCAATCTTAGCTCTAGTACGCGGGCTATAGTACTATAGAGCTAAATAAATCTATACTAATCGTCATTGCCTGGTTTTGGGTTGTGTGGTGGGCGTGTGCCCACGTGGCCCTATACGTGTGTATACGTGTCTCTGTGAGCATAAAACCAGGCAATGCCGATTAGTATACCGCGTACTAGAGCTAAGATTGATTTTATTGACGTACCACCGATAAGAAGAAACTTAGATAGCGCCCATCACGTCAAAATTGTATGCCCTGAACTATATAACCAGATAAACTGGAAACAACCGGTATTTTGCACCTGTTATGATTATGATATTAGATTATGTCTCTGTGGGCATCTGTCCGTGCGTGTCTCCATAGGCGTGAGTCTGTGTCTGTGTGGCCATACGTGTGTGCGTGCATGCGTGCGCATCTGTGTAGGCATGCGTGCGTGCGTCCGTGTCTGTGTGGGCACGCGGGCGTCCGTGTCTGTGTAGGCATGCGTGCGTGCGTCCGTGTCTGTGTGGGCACGCGGGCGTCCGTGTCTTTGTAGGCATGCGTGCGTGCGTCCGTGTCTGTGCGGGCATGCGTGCGTGCGTGCGTCCGTGTCTGTGTGGGAATGCGTGCGTACGTGCGTGTCCGTATGGGCACGCGTGCGTGCGTGTCTGTGTGGGCATGCGTGCGTACGTGCGTGTCTCGTGTGGCGCACACTCGGCCGTGGCATCGCGCGCCGTGTCTTTGTGGGAATGCGTGCAGGTGAGGCCAGGTCCGCGTGTCCCGTAGTGGGGCACGGCAGGTGCGCCTGCGTGCTCGCCTGGGGTCGTCGAGTGCGCGGGCGCCAGTCGGCCGTGCGGTGTGGCCGGTCGCCGCCTGCCCGGGTGCCAACTGTGGGTGTGGGAGAGGCCACTCGCGGCCGCTGGGGCGTGCGCACGCGGGCGATTCCGGTGGCGAGATGGCGTGCGCTACCGGGTGCGAACGGGCCCTATCGCGGCGTAAGCTGATCGGGGCCGACCGAGCGCCGTGTGCGTGTCTGGTCGTCGGCGCATGGCGTCGGGCGTTGCGTCCGTGTCTGTGTAGGCGATGCGTGCGTGGCGTCCGGTGTTCGTGATGCGCGCTATGCCGCCTCGGATGGCGGTCGCCCCGTGTGGTGTGTGGCATCGGCGCCGTACGGTGTGCGGCCGCCTGCTAATATGTGAGTACCATGGCGTATGCCTTGATGACCACGTGGAGCGCGCGAGCCTGCGTTGTGCCGTGCCGTGCGTTCGATGCGCTACTTAGATAGTGGTTTTTGCCGATCTCGCGGCTAGATTGTTTCGAAAGCAAGTTGGTTTAGAGTGTTACCCGCGCGGCATTCTGCACGTGATGCTATTCGTCCTATCACTGTTCGCCCGTAGCGCAGCAAAGGATATGACTGTTTTGGCCCCGCGGGCGCGCGGTGAACGCAAAACCCCCGGTGCACTGGCGCACTAAGCCATACGCGAGCGCAGTGCACACCAATAAAAATTCAATTCGAGGATGACGGCCAAGCGTGGCACTGTTTGACATACCTGGATCGCAGGCCTGCACGCACAAAGTCGAAGTGATCGTACGATCGGAATGGTTGGCAGGATCAATCCGTCGCCTTACCTCAATGTAGTCTCACCCGGCCCCATTATTTCCCGCGCCACGCACGTAGTGCGCCCTCAGTGCGAGATCCAACACAGCGGGCGCTGTTGGCGCGTGCAGGCCGATTAGCTAGTCTGGGCGGGTAGTAGCTGGACGACGTTGATCGGATAAGACGCGAGCGGCGCTCCGCGTTCATGTCATCTTGTATGGCTCGACGCATCGCTCCCTGTTTCCACGCGGCTTACGGAAGTGTCTGCGCCGACACACTACATACCTATACCCCGTAATTACGGCCTTTGGCTTCGCGAACTTGCGAGGCCGGACACGTAGGGGAGACTACGAAGTGAAGGGCAGCTTTCCTCTTGTCTTTCCAATCCAGCGAATCTAGGTCTACTAGTAATCTCCCATTTTTCGTGCATTTTGTATCGCGTAGTGCTTGTTCACAATTAAGACATCGAGTCTTCAGGAGATTAAACGGGTCAATAAATAAACGCCGAGTCTACTGAAATCAAAAGCTTAAATACCTAGTGGTTGAGGGCTCAAAACGGCCTATATCTCTATTGTCTATTCTGTGATGTAACATCTGTTTTTACACGTGTGGAGCATGGCTATCTAGACAGAGCGTCATTGCTCCCACATTGATGTATTACAGAGAATGGTAAAGCCGTAGTGGAGTTTACCACGAATTAGACGGGTCATCTGTGAATTGGGTCGGAACGTAGTCCGTGAGAACGGGTAGCATGTGCCGCGGCAGTTCTCGTTTGTAGACGTTTGCGGGGAAATAGCAGAGGACAGCACCCGCACTCGTCACGCGCACCCCGATTCGGTTCTGGGCGCGCGAGGTGAGCCGGGAGCGCGCGTCTCGCGTGTGCGCGATCTCTTTTGTCTGGATGCTCGTGGGCTACACCAGGGAGTGAGTATTAAAGGTTGTGACAGTTTACCTACATGCCAGCGTTTCTGGCGATGATTCTTCACTCATGTTTTACATGAACTCGGGCATGGTCGTTGTTTACACTTGTTGCGTGGGGTGGACTCCTGACAGTCCAGGGAAACCGTGGGGTATCTCGTCCGTTGCGGACGACGAACGCAAGGGTTACTTGCCATGATCGAGTCTACGACGGCGCCCGCGGAACGCCAAGCGGGCGGAAAACAGAGAAATGAATGACGGGAGAGCGAGAGAGGAGAGAGAGGACGGAAAGCAGCCGGGTTCATTGAGACTGAGCACCCGCGCGCGACACTCCCACCCCTGTCGCCCCCCCCCCCCCCCCCCGCGCGCGCGCGCGCGGCGCCCGCGCGCGCCCGCAGCCCCGCCCCCCCGCACCGACCCCACCCTCGCACCGCCACTCCCCGAGCGCCGCACGCACGCCGCACCTCGGCACTCCACGCATCGCTCCCCGCCGCACACTCGCACGCCCGACCCCCTCTCATATCACCCACCCCACCACCCCACCCTCTCCCACCCCGCACCCACCCCCGCCCCCGCACCGCCCCCCCCCCCCCCCACGCGCACCCGCACCACAACTCGGCCACGCACCCCACCCGAAGAACGACCCACCATGGCCACCGCGCGCCCACCACCTACACACCACCGGAGCACCGGCCGCGACCCACGCACGCACGCACACGACGACGAGGGAAGAAGAGACGAAAGGAGGAGAAGAAGCTGGACGAGTAAAGATAATAGGAGAAGAATAATAATAATGGCCGTGGTAAGTGTTGCAATTTTCGCCTAGTATACGCGCCATTTCGCTGTGCTCCCCGACGCTTGGGTTAGCTGGTCGGCCCTGCTGCTGGAGTATCACCTGACGGATGCCAACCTCCCTCCGCCTGCGCCCCCGCCCGAGACACACCCTCACATAGATATACACACACCGCAACGCAGCATCACATACGAAACACGACTACACCCGCCCTCACGCGTATAAAGTCGCGTAAATACCCAGAGGGTACGGGATTTTTGTGCGACGCATTATGGGGATATAGATATAGATACGTTTGTGATGTGTGCATCCCTAAGATACCATATGTGTATATAGTGTCAGATAGGGCACAGTAGATCGTAATAGATATAATATAGTTAGCACAGCTGTATACGTTGGCATGCTAATAGAGGGCGCGCGACGCGGTCCATGGCAGCACAGATATGTATTGGGAAACAGCTGCTGACCGTCAGTAGGCTCACACACGAGATACAATCTCACGCATTAACACACATGGCATATCACTAATAGACAATACATACAGGAGGTGAATAATTATATCAAATACATACCGACGACCGATATAGTTGTTTTTCACCCAGCTACTGACATTCGTTTTATGCTAATCTACCTCTTGCTACGTACGCCTAATGTAATAATCATAGATATATATAGAAACAAACTATGTATGACCACATAAATAGATATGTATTGTCTGTATGTATGTATGGTATGTATGTTGTATGTGTGTGTGTGTTGTGTGTATGTGTGTATGTGTGTATTGTGTTTGGATGTTTGTGTGTGTAGGGAGTGGGTGATAGTGTGATGTGTGTGTGTGTGGTGTATGGTATATGTCATGTATGTAGTATGTATGTATGTATGTATGTTATGCCTCATCGCATAATAGTATGTACATAAGATATGTATACAAATAATTACATACATATGACACTGATAAATCGCATAATAGCATACTAACATCTATAGAATAGAATAATGAAAACATAATAAATATTGTATGTATGTATGTATGTATGTATGTATGTATGGATGTATGTATGTATGTATGTAATGCTATGTATGGTATGTATGTATGTTATGTATGTATGCTATGTAATGTATGTATGTATGTATGTTGTATGTATGTATGTATGTAAGTATGTATGTATGTATGTAATATGTATGTATGTATGTAGGCTTTATGGTTGTTTTATGTACGCGTATTTTGTTCATTGCGATATTCGTGTTGACCCGTTTTTTTTTGTGTGTGTGGAAAAATCTTTTTCGTGAAACTTTGTTTAGAAATCTTTGTGATCGTTTTCTTGAATTTGTGCTAACCCAGTAGCGGTAACGTTCCACCTATATTGTCAGACCGCTAAACACATTCTCAATTAGATGTTTGATTTTTATAGGCCAATCAAACATTTCCATCGAAAATATGAATTCAGTTTGCGTCTATTGTTTGGCTGTATGATGTAAGATGTCATGATGTGTGGGAAGTGACAAGTACACCTCAGTGCTGGGTGTTGCTATTAATGCCTGTTGGTCATGGGCCGCCTGTGTGCCCTGGGATTATGGAATATAATCCAGTATAACGTGGTTTCGGTAAGCGTGTCTGTATACGCAGTACGCACGTACGTTAGCAGCATAAATAAATACGCAGAGTGAGAGTAATTGCAGCGATAATCAAATGTTTCATGCAAATGTGTTGAGTTTCTCTCTTGACTTAACTATGTGATCGAACTTTATCGTTAACTTGTTTTCTAGGCTTCATATGGTGGTTTCGTATGTCAATTTTGATTGTTGTTTATGTTTGTTGTATTGATTGTGGGTGTGTTTAAATCGCACAGAAAGACGTTCCTCATTGGGTTGAGTTAGGAAGAATTTAGGGTATAGTATTTTTTTTGGAATGGTTAGGTTCAGGTTTAAAGTGTAGAGGCAGCGAGGACGCTGAGTCGATGACTACCCTAGTCATCTTTTTGGGAAAGGGAGATAATGTAACATCTGTTTTACACGTGTGACATGGCTAGCTAGACAGAGCGTCATTGCTACATGATGTATTAGAGAGAATGTACGGTGGGTAGGTTACAGATTATAGGGTCACTGTGAAATTGGGGAAGGACGTAGTCTGTGAGAACGGGTACATGTGCGGGCAGTATGTTTGTAGGAGTTTGGGGGAAATAGAGACGACAGAGATGTAGGAGGGGATTCGGGTTCTGGGCGCGGAGGTGAGCACACGCGCGTATGCGCGTGTGCGCGTTCTTTGGATCTTTGTGCGATGTGGCTACAGTGTACAAGTTAATAAAGTTTATTCCGGTTACTACAACAAGTTTGACTTTATATCATCATTCCTGTTTACACTTAGAATAGTAAATAAATTAGAAATAGTTAGAAACCTCATCATTTGAACCCTACCCCACCACTGACTCTAACCCAGAATACACCAGTAAATTCCTATATTTTTTGTACCTAATGAAACAAGCCCTCTCTTCGCAGTAAATTGCGAATTTGTGCGAAATATACATGTTATTCCTTCTCTCGTGAATTTCGTTTCAGTTGGTTTTTTATTTCGTTTTTATTCAGCCACAGAATGCGGTGATGTTGCGCTATAGTAGAGACGTTGACCGAGGCTGGGCGTGGGTTGTGGTCGGTAGCTCTTTCATCGCACAGAGCCTCATGATCGGTCTCACCTGGTCCGTCGGCGTCTTCTTCGTTATCTTTCTAGAGGAATTTAAGCAGAGCAGTTCGTCTACGGCCTGGATTAGTTCAATTAACACAGCAGCGTGCATGGCAACCGGTGAGTGTCAAATAAATGCTGTCAGTGATATACGGTTGACACGAGTGTCTCGCGTCATCCTGGTGATGTGTCTTATTAAGAGCTCATCATCTCTATTGTTAATGGACGAATTTATGCAATATATAGCTATTTACTATGCATTTTAACTCCATTACGAATATGCCACCACAAATACAGCTATAGTGGCATCTCGCTGTTATACGTAACTGTTTTCTATTATGCACACTTGCTACCTGGTAATAACCCCATAACCCATAACCACATATCTTATCTACCTGTTTATCTAAGTTTAATACCTGTTAGTTACCTATGAGGACGTTATGGGTTACCCGTCCCCATATAACCTCACATGTACCCATTTGTTGAGTTTGCCCTAGGCCTTCCGTAGCACTTGAGACTGGGACACTTTATTTGTTCAACATATAATATTTCACGCACATGATAGCTACATTAATAGGTATAATCTAGGCAATCACAATCACAACCAATAGGCCGATAGTGCATCCATGCAGCTCACACGTTAGAATTACCTAAGCACACGTATCTGATATTGGCCATAACAAAGCAATAGGAGCGATGGGAGTAGAAAAAGAGAAGAAATAAGAAGAGAAGATTGAAATAGTCAGTCACCCCTGGTTCATCCCCCCCCCACCCCACCTCCACCACCACCACCAGTTTCCAGCTATAGCGTTCTTCCTGATTGTGGTCAACTTTAATTCGAGGACCGAGATAAACTTCGGCGTCACCAATACAAGACCAAATGCCTGCCAGTACTCGCACAATCAAGACGCTAAAATACGGTGTGGGCTTGAGTATGCAGAAAATCAGTCCCTAAACTCAATCAGTGAACTGAATCAGGCTTGCCAGATGTACAAACTTACGTGACACGAGTCAAATATTCAGCCCAGCACAGATATAACTACAGGCCCGTAGCCAGGGGGGGTTCGGGGGTTCGAACGAACCCCCCCCCGAGCCCCTCCCCCCCAAGCAAAAAATTGGGTTTTTTTTTTTTTTGCAAGAATTTCACCTCAGGTCGCTCTATTTTAGTGTAATAATTGCAAAATCTCCATCGTGCG